ACTTCCATAAACATGTTTCACAAACATTCTTCACTTTCATACACATATTTCACATACATTCTTCACTTTCATACACATGTTTCACAAACATTCTTCACTGTAATAAACATGTTTCACATACACTCTTCACTTTCATACACATATTTCACATACATTCTTCACTTTCATACACATGTTTCACATACACTCTTCACTTCCATACACATATTTCACATACATTCTTCACTTCCATACACGTTTCACATACATTCTTCATTTTCATACACATATTTCACATACATTCTTCACTTTCATACACATATTTCACATACATTCTTCACTTTCATACACATATTTCACATACATTCTTCACTTTCATACACATATTTCACAAACATTCTTCACTTTCATAAACATGTTTCACATACACTCTTCACTTTCATAAACATGTTTCACATACATTCTTCACTTTCCATACACATATTTCACATACATTCTTCACTTCCATACACATATTTCACATACATTCTTCACTTTCATACACATATTTCCTCACATACATTCTTCACTTTCATACACATGTTTCACAAACATTCTTCACTTTCATAAACATGTTTCACATACATTCTTCACTTTCATACACATATTTTCACATACATTCTTCTTCACTTTCATACACATGTTTTCACAAACATTCTTCACTTCTTGTCATAAACATGTTTCACATACACTCTTCTTCACTTTCATACACATATTTCACATACATTCTTCATTTTCATACACATGTTCACATTACACTTCTTCACTTCCATACACATATTTCACATACATTCTTCAATTCCATACACATTTCACATACATTCTTCATTTTCATACACATATTTCACATACATTCTTCACTTTCATACACATGTTTCACATACATTCTTCACTTTCATACACATATTTCACATACATTCTTCACTTTCATAAACATGTTTCACATACACTCTTCACTTTCATACACATATTTCACATACATTCTTCATTTTCATTCACATATTTCACATACATTCTTCACTTCCATACACATATTTCACAGACATTCTTCACTTCCATACACATATTTCACATACATTCTTCACTTTCATACACATGTTTCACAAACATTCTTCACTTTCATAAACATGTTTCACATACAGTCTTCACTTTCATACATTTATTTCACATACATTCTTCACTTTCATACACATGTTTCACAAACATTCTTCACTTTCATAAACATGTTTCACATACATTCTTCACTTTCATACACATATTTCACATACATTCTTCATTTTCATACACATGTTTCACAAACATTCTTCACTTTAATAAACATGTTTCACATACACTCTTCACTTTCATACACATATTTCACATACATTCTTCATTTTCATAAACATATTTCACATACATTCTTCACTTCCATACACATATTTCACATACAATCTTCACTTCCATACACGTTTCACATACATTCTTCATTTTCATACACATATTTCACAAACATTCTTCACTTTCATACACATATTTCACATACATTCTTCACCTTCATACACATATTTCACATACATTCTTCACTTTCATACCCATATTTCACATACATTCTTCACTTTCATACACATGTTTCACATACATTCTTCACTTTCATACACATATTTCACATACATTCTTCACTTTTCCCACATATATTTCTCATCCACGCTGAACTTTTGAATGCACAGATTTCAAATACACATTTCACTTTTCATGCACATTTCACACACTTCACATTTCACTTTTCATGCACGCATTTCACTTTTCATGCACACATTTCACATACACTTCACTTTTCATGCACACACATTTCACATACACACACACTCACTTTTCATGCACACATTTCACATACACATTTCTACTTTTTGCATACACATACACACTTCATTTCATGCACACATACACACACTCAATTTTCATACACACATTTCACATACACATTTCACTTTTCATGCACACATTTCACATACACACTTCACTTTTCATGCACACATTTCACATACACACTTCACTTTTTTTCATACACACATTTCACATTTCACATTTCATACTTCACTTTTCATACACACATTTCACACACACACTTCACTTTTCATGCACACATTTCACATACACAAATCACTTTTTCATGCACACATTTCACATACACACTTCACTTTTCATGCACACATTTCACACATTTCACATACACATTTCACATACACACTTCACTTTTCATACACACATTTCACATACACACTTCACTTTACATACACACATTTCACATACACACTTCACTTTTCATACATATTCACATGCAACGGGTAGAGAAGCAGAAGGACCTAAGTGAGAGTTTGGTTGTTTTGACATAATAATACCCCACTTATCATCATGTTGAGATCTACATTGTTGTGAAATGTCACGTTGATACATTAATATTTTGCAGAATTACAGCGTGTTGAATATGCATGATTTATGCAAAAAAGACCTAACTCAGACTTAGGGTGTTCTGCCACTGAACGGGCCTGACTTAAGTCTTTTTGTCTCAAAACTCTTCCAACAAGGTCTGGAGAGCACATGTTATGCTGGAAGGAAGCTCTGAGAGAAGAGAAAGTTACTACAATTCTTTGATTAAAACTAGTTTCAAGTATTGAGCAATTCTTTCAAATATAAGTGTCAGAGTATACTATATTAGGGATTTTGTGTGAAAATGATTCTTTCTTATCCAAGGTGGAGGTGCCATTAATGACATTGAGCTTTACATAAACGATCGCATGATATAAAATGTAATGATTTGGGGAAGTGTGTTCAAAGGTTTCAGTATTATTTGAACTATTTGTGAAGAGATTATATTGAAATATACAGATTATGTCACTTTGAGCATGATCAATTTCGGCAAGTAAGCTGTATAGAAAACATATAAAAGTGTAACTTCTTTGATGGGCATTTTAGAAGTTGAGTTGATGAAGAATGATGACAATTGTTATGGATATACAACTTCTTTTATTCTGTGAAGGGCGACGTTTCGACATAGATTCTAATGTCGTTGTCAAGCAAGTGGTACATGAGAAACAAATTGAGAGAATATTTAAATTTACATGACTTTTTATTGCAGTAGATTGGAGATGAGTTGTTTGTACATTAAGGAGGCTGATGTGCAACGTCTGTATGGGAGATTAGAAGTGATTGGAAGCCAGTAGGTGACAAGGATTGAATCAAAGCTGATACAATTGATAGGATGCCAGGTAAATGTTTATACAATGGATGGGATTGATGTACATAGATTGTATTTACAGACCACAGCCACATACCTGGAATATTGTTCAAAGCAGCGTTAAACTCAACTCACTCACTCACTCTCTCTGAACTGTCCTCTATGTATAAGGGTATCTATCCTTACGTAAGCTCTCTAACTGTTAAAGGGGCGGTGGGCTAGCCTAATGGTTAAAGCGTTGGTTCGTCACGCCGACCCCGGTTCGAATCCCCACATGGGTACAATGTGTGAAGCCCATTTCTGGTGTCCCCCGCCGTGATGTTGTTGGAACATTGCTAAAAGCGGCGTAAAAACAAACTCAGTCAGTCTAACTGTCAAAACAAGTGATGAAAGCTTTACCTTGTGTCGCCAGAATCATAAAACGCCCGTAAAATCTCTTTTTTTACACGTTACAAGATACAGGCTTCAAAAACCCAAAGATGCCGCTTACAAAGCATAAATCGTTTCTTTCACAGAAATTTTCCTTTTGATATGTAGAGTTTTTCTTGTTACTCTTTTACAAATTGGAATAACAAAAGGAAAATAATCGAAATATGTAAATAAATACATTTATGCTACAAAGGTGACACCATTAGACTTTCGTGACAGGCTACAGGATAGAAGCATCTATGTCTAAGGGATATTATAGTACAAAGAACATAACCTATAAACCTCTACTTTCTACCAAACGTGTGTCCCAGTAGTCCAAAGTACCGCAGTTTGCTGTGCAGAGATGAGTCCATTATGCTGTGCAGAGTTGAGTCCATTATGCACACCGACATCTATGACCATGTGTTCAAATCCCGTTCCGTTCCTATTGTGTCTAAGTTTGTCAACAGCATACCCGAGATCGTGGGCACCAGTGGTAAACGTCTTCAACCTCATCACTGCCGGTCTTCCTCCAAAGTTGGCACAACCCAAGAAGATCCGGGTTAGAACTGATCCGCCGCAACCCACACTTGTCATAAGAGGTAACTAACAGGATAGGCTGATCAGACTCGCTGACTAGAATTGCGTAGATCGATGTTCATTATGTTGATCACTGGATTGTCTGGTCCAGACCCGATTATTTACAGCTAGAATATACGCCTCGATAGAACCGGAATACTGTTCAAAGCAGTGTTTAACTAAACTCACTCACTCATATATTAGAATCTGTTATTAATTCACTTTGCTTAGGATGTGTTGAGTCGATTTCCAACTTGTAACAATAAGTTAACCAAAAATCTTCCCGTAAAAGAAATCGGGATGAAACCAACAAACAAATGTTGTACAATTTTTACAATTGTATTTCAAAATTATTTCAGTTTGAAATTTCATACAAACTTCTGCAAGAGAATTTCAATGGTGGTACATAATATGATGGTAGCATGTCCACACAATATGATATTCACATAGCTGAACATACACAGTGGTCGCGGCTCCACAATAGGTCTGGACTGATCTTCACCTGGTCTTGGTGTAAAGTGAGGTAGCTATGTTGTCACAGAGGCAATGGTGAGGCCAATGTTCTGTTCCTATTGTTTCTAGGTTTGTCAACATCAGACCCGAGGTTGTCGGTAAACGTCCTCAACCTCATCACTTCCGGTCCTTATCCAAAGCTGGCACAACCCAAGAAGATCCGGGTTAGACTTGGTCTGCCGCAACCCGTGCTTGTCATAAGAGGCAGCTAACAGGACCGGGTGGTCAGGATCGCTGACTAGAGTTGACACATCTCATCGTTTCCAAACTGCGTAGATCGATGCTCATGTTGTTGATCACTGGATTGTCTTATTCAGACTCGATTATTTACAGATCGCCGCCATATAGCTGGAATATTGCCGAGTGCAACTAACAGGATCGGGTGTTCTTGCAATGGATATCACAGCAATACAACAAATGAGTGGATTCAGAGACATGTAATGATGATGCTATTCACGGGAGAGCTCCTGCCACCATACACTCTGCTAATGGGGTGGAATGAGAGCTTTGTTACCATAGTATATATACCTGAACAGCTCACCAGCCACACAGTCCCAAGTTCTTATTGACTGCGCGTTAAGTTTTGTGGCTATTTCTTGTTCGAATCCAAGTATGGACAACATAATTTGAAGTCTCCCAATCAAATGACTTGTTTCCATACAGGAGTGACATGCTTTCTCCAGGATTTGGGTGGTTCATGGATCTGAATTCCGTGTTAATGAGGTTGGGGTACTTTTGTGCCAGTATTGCAGGAAGCAGCACCGAGTGGTAGCCCCATACACTGTCGTCTAATGTCTTGTATTCCTTGTACCAGATCCTGAGGAAGTCTGCCCACGGCCTCGCCACCATCACGCCGTTACAGAGTCCATCCAGTGTCTCGTATCCCATAGTAACGTCGTACCTGCACAAGACAAGAAGAGATAACACATACTGGAATCATTCTTATCTACTTTCATAATACTTATCTGCTTAAACACTGTTTATAACGAACTGAACATGACAGTTGGTAATCTGGAGGACGTTTATACTATCATAGCAAATGAAAAGGTGACATGCTATCGTGGCTATCAGAGATCAAGGCATTATAGCACATATTCAGGTATCATTTTATAACAGTTGATCTATGAGGTTTCTTGTCGTTATAGAAGATTATGAGGTTTCATACCATAGTGTCAGAATATATGGTTTCATTTGATAGAATCAGATTATATGGTTTCATATCATAGTAACAGATTATAAAGTTTCATATCACAGTAACAGATTATAAAGTTTCATATCATAGTAACATATTATAAAGTTTCATATCACAGTAACAGATTATAAAGTTTCATATCACAGTAACAGATTATAAAGTTTCATATCATAGTAACAGATTATAAAGTTGCATATCATAGCAGTGGATTATAAAGTTGCATACCAAAGTATTAGAATATATGGTTTCATACCATAGTAGCAGATTATAAAGTTTAAGGCACAGTGGCAGATTATAAAGTTTCAAGGCATAGTGGCAGATTTTAAAGTTTCATATCATAGTATACGTAGTGGTTTATAAAGTTGCATACCAAAGTATTAGAATATATGGTTTCATACCATAGTAGCAGATTATACAGTTCAAGGCACAGTGGCAGATTATAAAGTTTCAAGGCATAGTGGCAGATTGTAAAGTTTCAAGGCACAGTAGCAGATTGTAAAGTTTCAAGGCACAGTAGCAGATTATAAAGTTTCAAGGCATAGTAACAGATTTTAAAGTTTCATATCATAGTATACGTAGTGGGTTATAAAGTTGCATACCAAAGTATCAGAATATATGGTTTCATACCATTTTAAATTAGCAGATTATAACGTTTCAAGGCACAGTAGCAGATTGTAAAGTTTCAAGGCACAGTAGCGGATTATACAGTTTCAAGGCACAGTAGCAGATTATAAAGTTTCAAGGCACAGTAGCAGATTATAAAGTTTCAAGGCACAGTAGCAGATTATACAGTTTCAAGGCACAGTAGCAGATTATAAAGTTTCAAGGCACAGTAGCAGATTATAAAGTTTCAAGGCACAGTAGCAGATTATAAAGTTTCAAGGCACAGTAGCAAATTATAAAGTTTCAAGGCACAGTAGCAGATTATAAAGTTTCAAGGCACAGTAGCAGATTGTATGGTTTCATGGGGTCGTATCAGATTTTTTCATGGTTTCGTGTCATGATGGCAGCGGCTTACCAGGTTTCATGACATTTTATAGCAGACCATATGGTCCCGTATCATTATAACAGAGTATATAGTGTCATGTGGTTTACAGTTTTAGGGGTATATAGTGTCTGCAGGTGACTTGTTGTTGTAGGTGGCAGGAAGTGAATTATGTCACATGTGTTATCCTACCTGGGATTACAAGATTACTTAAGGCAATAATGAGTTTTGTCAATTAATTTGAGTCATGTCAACTAACCAATTAAGGTATGTATACTACATGCAGCCAGTGTAATTGGCACTAAAACCAGGGCAAAATGACTTTTGTTTAAAAAAAACATTGGCAAATGGCATTGTATTCAGTTTTGCATTATAACCAGGGTATTATATAGGCAAGAAATCCGTTCTGGCAAAAACATTGCATTATATCCAGGGTGGCATTATATCCAGGGGCATTATAAACATTGTGCACTGTACATTATATATGTTCAAGGCAGTCTACACAGTTTAAGGTCATAACAGCAGATAAAATAGATGCATGACATATATGCAAATTAAACAGTTTCATGTAAACAAATTAAAGCAGATTCATAACAAAGTGAGATGAACAAAATACATACGATTGAAGTGGCGATAGGGACCTCAAGACGATGACATCCAGGTCCATATAGATGCCACCATACTCCATGAGGGCCTCGAGTCGGATAACATCTGACTGGTGTTCCGGTACCTCGACGGGCTGTCCGAGGACGATATGGGGTGGGGCCCTGTACACCAGCACTATCTGGGGGAAGCGCTCTATGACCTGGTCCCAGTATTCTCCCTCCGGTATCATATCAAACCAGAACAGAATGTACTTAGGTTTAATAAATCTATGGATGGATTGCAGGCACACCAAGTGGTGGAATAAGAATGTGTTCTTCTTAGGACCGCCATACCATGTCACGTGAACTATATTGGGCACAACATTTTGGTCATGCACTATCGACCTTTCATAATCCACTGGCGCGTTCAGATTTTGGTAGAATGTTTGATTTCGCTGGTATACGAAATACTCTGTTCCATTTTGTGTTACACGACAGATTCCTGGGAGGATACAGTGATCAGTTACTTGAAATCTTCTTTCTCTGAGAATTCCTAACACAGGTTTTGGAGGGGCGAAACCTTGATCTACAATGACCAGTATGCCTGTCGTTATAGACAAGGTCACCACTGCATACATCAGTGTAGATCGATGCGCCGTATAATACTTCTTCATTGAACTACAATATGCCATCTGAAAAAATATATATAAAAAGAACATTATATAAATATTTAAGGCACAATTTCACACATTTCCGACAATAGTTTGGTCTTTAGTATATATATTGGGGGAATACTTTAGCTTTAACAGAAGTCAAAGGAGCAATCACCTCTCTGAGTAAATACAAATCTCCAGGTCCCGTGTCTAACGAACATATCATCTACGGAGGCGACTCTCTCGTCCCCAGTATCTGTATCCTCTTCAACAGTATGATACAACACAAGTATTAATGTTCTGCGACTTCATCAATTGAAATATGCGCAAAACAAATATAATATTTCTCAGCCCCCAAACCGCAATAAAGCATCATAAGAAAACTTAAAAGCACATCTGTAAGTGAATTAAACACAAGCCTGAATTTCGAATGTAAAATGAATGCAACACAACATATATTTAACTGCAAGACAGACCTGCTCGTATTGAAAAGTAATGCCAGGAGGTTCTGTACATCAGAGTTTCCGTAATATTTGCAACATTACAGTTAACAGGAGCTAACAAAACACCCCAAATACCCCAGTCTCTGCAGAACCGAACGATTACCTGTATAAGAAAATAATAATGGAACATTAACTATAATTACTAATTGTTTGTCACAAGCACACATCATCCACATTGAGGTGATCAAGTTCTGCAGTAAATAGATTCATATCGATTCTGATTTCACTATTATATACAAATTAATATCTAGGCAGGTAGGGTGGGGTTCGTAGGGTGAATACATATTTCCGCACAAACTATAGTGCAATATTGCCATGGCTACGTGAAATGCTCGAATTTGATTGGTCAATCAATAAAATCAGACGGTATCAATTTGAATTGAAAATGCGTCTGATTTCACGGCGCTTCACTGAGCACGTATACAGCACTGCCGCACTACTTCAGCTTGGCCACCAACATGACTAATATCAACACAACAGACGTGGTGGAAATGCTGATGAAACATTTATTAAAACTCGAAAAATACAATTATACTATTTCTCCTCCACAATTATTAGGGAACCTCACTATCATAATTATTACCTTTTATTATAAAAACTATTCAAAGTCAATTACAATACACAGTCCTAAACATAAACAAACAATATCTAACATATAAATCAGAAAACCTTGTAAATATACATCCCTACCTATCCCTATTTGTGCGGCAAAACGTTCGTAAACATTTACCTACCTGGTAAATGGTATATTTGTTTCCGTTTAGAATGGGAAATTCGCAAGATAACGGTCAGGCGAAACACAAAATATGCCACTCATACTCCATCATGTCTCGTTGCATTGTTCAAAATGTCAAAAATTGAACCATGAGAATTCCGCACTCTGCCACCTTCCCCGCAAGGCTGTCACTGCTATGTTCGTACACTTTGAAAAGCTTGGCCACAAGCCAGTCCCAAATGATGAGGACAATGTTCCAAGGAATCCCAAGTTAGTCGCATGTACACAAAGCTGCACTGTCACTCTTTTTGTCGCATGTCGGGGTGGAGGCACGTACGTGAAATCATGATCGACACTCGCCGGTAATAAAAATCAACAGTCTTTGATGAGTTACAGGTCATAGGTCGATCAGAAAAGGATCTATTCTTCGATTCTGCAGGGTTCAGGTTCGACAGTCAGTCAAGTATTTTCCACTGTCACTTCGAATTTCAACCTTTCGCAAAATGTAAACACTGCTAAACTATCAAACTATTCAGTAACTGTCTACTTCGAAGAAAATAAGTAGGTCAGACGATTCCATTATAGTGTGGCCAGGGGGGGTACAGTAATACGGCACACAAAACAATAGGCTGGTTCGGTCGTGTGGAGCTATGATTATAAAAACCAAGCTCTTAGGTGTTCGATTATTGCATTGAATAAACAGTAGTTTGTTTTCTTTGGAGAGAATAGTTGTATGTTGCAATGTTAAAAGTAATACGAACGGAACCTACTCCCTTCACAGACGAGTTCAATTCGCCTCTCGTCCCATGCCGGATTACGCAGTGTCTTCCGCAGGACGAGGAAGTTCGATGTTGACTCGGTTATGGTAGAATGGAGATAACATACTGTGTTTGGAAATTAGATGAATGTTAGATTTGACTCTGATAGTCTCCAAATTACTCATCTGAAACCTCACGCTACGCGACGCGTTCGGCTTCAAATGAAATTTAGAGACTATCAATTTGGTCTAACATTCATCTGATTTCCAAACATAGTACGTTTATCTCCTAAATATATAACCGCAGGAAATAACATAACCTTATATTATCAGTCATTGTACATCCAGCGGGCTTCAAGGCGGAAGCTAATTAAATGTCAAGGACGAACATCTGTTGTTTCATGTTCCTATTTCGTTCACGTTAACCGCACACATGGTGAAGAAGGCGTCAGTACTGTAGCTTGCTTTGTTTCCACCATCCACTGTGAACATCATTTCTAAAGTAGACACCATGGGAGGTGTCAGCTTCTAAATGTTTCATTTATCGTCAGGTACCACATGACTATTATTTTCCGTAAAGATAAATCCGATATTAATGGAAGCAAACAAGAACATATTTAGACCTACCACAAATGGAACAATGCAGTAGCAACGCCTCTCTTTACGACATTCACTGGTCCGAAGGTAAATTCTCAGGTACATTAATGACTGCACTGCGTGAGGGTCACGGTACGTGTTCTTATTAATCCTTCCTCAACTGTCCCCAGCCAATGGTGACCGGGTAGGGTGGATGTTGACATGGGTGATCCAATCATTGGCGTGACGCATGCCTAATGTCAGCTATCGATCTCGACACCGCGCATCAACAGCTAGGGGACTAGACTCACGGAATAAACAGTTAGACGGGAAAATGTACCCACTTTCACACAAAAAATAACCCAAGGGCTAAATATCTCATTGACAGTTTTGATATCAAAGGCGTTGACAGCTATGCTAGCCCAGGGGCTAAACATCGTGAATTTAATTCAAGTGACAAATCTCTTTGGAAGGATTTTGTAGGCGCCCTGGGGCTTTCCCTTATAAACACAGACGTTCGAGTTGTCGAGCAGAAATTGTATGTCGCCCTACTATGGATGTAGCACAAGCTTTAGGACAAAGAGTCTTCCTCAGTATATAGATACCTTTTAATATAGATGGTTTTACTTATAATATAACAATGTGAAATTATTAAATATTTTAATGCCGTCAGACCCGTCAGTTTTATCGTCTGCTGTTAACAACAGGCTTAGAAGACGACTTTTTAATTTTTGTAGAAACGGTTTATTATCTCTCATTTTCACTATTTGACAGACAGACATTTTATTCAGTAATAAGCCACTGGCCCAAAATACATTCATAAATATGATAAGAAGTTACATACGTTTTACCAGGGAGACTATATAACGTTGTAGATTACCCCTGGTTTTACATAAAAACATCAGAATAAAATGAATAAAACGTCTGTCTGTCCGTCATTTTCACTATGTATTATATCCTATATATTTTAAACCGAAATGGACATAAAGTCACTAAAGAGATTTTAGTGTCTCATAAGCCTTAATGGCTGGGTAAATGAATATCTTATTGCTGTTTTGTGTATTCGTTCACGTGACACTTATAATAAACTATATCTGTCTGTCTGTCTATATTTTATTTGACAACGATGCATGTCCATGTTTTCATTACAAATTAATCCCCCCTCAGAGCAAACAACAGAAACGGGTTACAATCGTACGGTGTGTTTCGTACACATGTCGACCCTCAACAGTGTCTCAGACGCTGATTGGTATTTCTACTTGACGGTCGGTCAAGGAGAGTATTGGCTCTAGTCTAACATCTAGATTCTGAAATGAACACATTTTACAGATAAATACAGTTTATAAAAATCATAAAATATAATGAAAAGGAGCCCAGAGACTTTCTTCATATCCAGACCGGAAACTGTGGAAATCTAGACTTGCCACATATTCAGACTGGAAACTGTGGAAATCTAGACTTGCCACATATTCAGACCGGAAACTGTGGAAATCTAGACTTGCCACATATTCAGACCTGAAACTGTGGAAATCTAGACTTGCCACATTTTCTAGACTTGCAAGGGCTTTCTTGGATATATTGGTATCAGGGTCTTGATGACAGACTATATTTTCTAGTGAGTGAGTGTGAGTGAGTTTAGTTTTACGCCGCACTCAGCAATATTCAAGCGATATGGCGACGGTCTGTAAATAATCGAGTCTGGACCAGACAATCCAGTGATCAACAGCATGAGCATCGATCTGCGCAATTGGGAACCGATGACATGTGTCAACCAAGTCAGCGAGCCTGACCACCCGATCCCGTTAGTCGACTTTTACGACAAGCATAGTAGCCTTTTATGACAAGAATGGGTTGCTGAAGACCTATTCTACCCCGGATCTTCACGGGTCCTATATTATCTAGTAAACATCAAGCATTCGAAAACTATATACAAAATGTAGATCATAGAGCAATACACATACACACCTTAAGTTATTAGATCTTACCTAATGTCATAGTCTAAGATACTTGCACAAGTACCCTTGTCTTCCTCCGGTAAAGGAAAGTGATGTTGAACATGGTGTGGTCGGGAATGTGTACACATCCAAGATAAACATCGTTGTGTAGAAAGAAAGCAATTCACCTCAGTGGTGTACAGTTAATATTACAGAAAGTAGGCATGCGGTGTACATCACCTGGCCCAGCAGCCACTGAGACAGGTGTAAGTGAGTGAGTTTAGTTTTACGCCGCATCCAGCAATATTCCAGCTATATGGCGGCGGTCTGTAAATAATCGAGTCTGGAACAGACAATCCAGTGATCAACAGCATGATCATCGATCTACGCATTTGGGATACGATGACATGTGTCAACCAAGTCAGCGAGCCTGACCACCCGATCCCGTTAGTCGCATCTTACGACAAGCACGGATTACTGAAGACCAATTCGTTGGTTTCATATTAATTTTTCAACTCGCTGTTCGCCTGCGCAGAGCGTGTGAAA